TGTGTGTGTGTGTGTGTTGATCAGCTACTGTGTGTTGTATATTTACTCAGCACACCTGTGAGATGGCCTTCTGAATGGTAATGAGAGGGACTTTATACATGAGAGTCCTATGCAGATTAGCCAGTGATAACAAGATGCCTAATTAATCACATGCATATTTAGAAGGCTGGAAGTAATGATTTCCCGTTGGGGTTGGGAGGAAGGACCGGAATATGTAACAAAATATAGGAATATAATTTTTTCCTCGTATGTTTGAGTGTTCATATAACAACATTGCATCTTGTTATACCATCTTTCATTGATTTGTGAATTTGTTTTAACCGATTAAACCTGTGTCTGTGTATGGTTTTCAGTTCAACTTCCTCAGGGGCCAAATCAGCTCTGTGCACTAGCAATACTCTTGGGTGACACCAAGACTCTTTAGAAGTCCATTGAAATGATCCCCCACACTTGGGTTCAAAGCATGTCTGTGATGAAAAATATATGATCTTTCTATAAAGAAAGACTTGGGCTGTCAGCCATTACAGCCTTGCTGGCCCAAAGGAGACATTTTGCTTACATCCAGAGCTTGTTTTAAGTTTTGCCTTGAAGAATAAAATTCTGTAATGATTCATATTGTTTTGATCCAGAGTGTAAATTTAGGATGAGTAGTCAGTTATTGAGCAAACTTTATTTTTTTTTCTGGTTGTTGTACTCCAGGGCAGTGTAGAGGAAGAGCTGAAATATCCTTGGCCCAAATTAATTATATCATGTGTTATTTTTTTATGTTAGCTGATTAATAATTTATATTGTTGTGAAATTAGATCAGACGCAGTACATATGTGTACTCACAGAGCTGAGCTTGAGCTCGAAGTTAGAAGATACAGTTTTTGTCTCATTGAATTTTTGTCAGTCTGTCTTGAATTTATATAATTTATATTTTCTCTGTAAAAGTGTGAAGTGGTTGGTTTTGGAATTAATTGGCAAAGTTCTGAGGCTGAGACAGAAAAGGCAAAATAATTCAAATACAATTATTTTTGTGCACAAGAGTTGTAAAGCATTACAACAGGATCCTCATTGACAATTTAAACATTTCCCTTTTAAAGACAAAACCATCTGAAAATGACCAAAATAAATATAAAATACCTTGATAGTGATGCTGTTTATGGTAATAAACTGAGATATTAACGTATTAACATATTCTGTGGTATTTATGGTCACTTACTGCAACAAATATCAGTGACATTTACCTTGTTATTATTCATTTAAACACACAATAAAAGCACAATATATATATTTTTGAATTATACAAACTTTTCCTAACATAGAAATGGGGAAAATACCACACAACCACCATAAGTAAAATTCTGTTAATCTCCTTTATACTGGAGTAATGGTCGAAGTTTTGCAGTGTATATATATCAAAACCTCAAGAAAATGTTTGGCTAAATATAGTCATTTTGTTTAATTGACCGTTTAAGTCTTGAGGGCCTGGCAAAGACACCAGAGTGTGAACTATACTGGAACCTTGGATCACATGAGTAGATGCCGCATGGCACATGGAGAAATGAGATACTGCTGGCAGCACAGTCAATACCTGAAGGTCATGGCCGAAACAATCTGCTCACTAACTTATCTAGGCAATAATGGTAGATCAGTTGAGGCTAAAAAATTTACATACATTTGAATCAGACATTTAAATAGAAAAGTAAGTTAGAGGTGATGGTTAGTGGATGTTGATTTTGGAGCTGCCAGTGGAATAGAAACATTAGGAGTCATTAATAACCTAATTTTGCTCAGGTTGGTGCCTCTAATAAGTTTGTCATGATGCTTCCCAGGGCTGTTCCTGTAAGAAAGAATACTTGATCACACTTCAGTTTCATTTATTGCCTCTTTTTTTGTTAATTCTACTCCTCTTCTTCTGCACTGATGCCATAATGAAGATCATATCACCTAGAAACTGCAATAGAGGTTGAATGCACAGGCTTTGCATAACAAACTCTTCAGAGCCTCCAGCCCTTTTGGGCAGTGAGGGAAAAAAAAGAGAGCAGGAAGGGCGGTCTGCAACGTCACCTAGGCAGTGGAGAAAGCTGCTGGATGGCCGTGGCTCAAGAGAGTCTTTGTTGAGACTGCTGTCTAATGAAAGGGACTGCACTGCGGTAATGATACTAAAGGAGGGGAGTGTACTACTAAATAATGAAGTGACTGCAGTGTAGTAAAGGTAACAATGTAGGAGAGTAGTGTACAGTGTTCTAATGAAGTGGATGCTATGTGCTAATAGCCATGCAGGAGGGCAACATACGTTCTGCATTGTGTCATTAATTTAATGTGATGAGAGTGGACCTCTGAGTTGGTGGGAGTCTGGCATGTGTAACACTGCCCTCACTCACATTGTAAGCTGTAGTAATTCACACTGTCCTTTTTCATGTTCTTCCCCTTTACCTTCCAATTTGCTCTCATTCTCATCTTCTCTCACACTTCCACTATCTCTTCCCCCTCATTATTAGATACTGTGACAGCTGAGCCACTTATCACTTTCTGTATGTTACATTAATTTTCAATCATCAGTTCTAAAATCCCCCTAGGAAACTGTCAGTAAATACTGTGTGTGTGTGTGTGTGTGTGTGTGTGTGTATACACATAAATTGCCATGGTTTTGCTTGTATCTGTGTGTCCATACGTGACTGAACTTGTATTCGTGCATATTTGTGTATCTTAAAGGGTGGAATTGTGTTGTGGGATGTGGACAGTAGCTCAGGGCAATATTCCTTAATGATATTATTTCCCATGAAAGATTTCTAAAATTCATGTTAGTATGTTATGCACACACCATTATACACCCTGTCCTTCCACTTTTATGTGATAACAAGAAGAATATCTCTGTGTCATCTAGCCGGGAGAAGAAAGTGTGTTATCAGAAAGGACAGAAACACACACACAAAAACATAAGCTCAGAAAAAGTATGTGCATAATGTACATGCAAATACTGGGTTTTACTATAAATACATATATAGTATATGGACATAGAATTTCTTCTAAGGGGCTCTATGTTATTTTCTTTCAGCTCATGAGGAAAATTAAGTGGGCTATGGTAATATGGTAATATAGATTTAGCTAATTATACAGATCAAAAGGCCTGATGTTGAACATGTCTTACTGTTTTTCAACACAGTGAAAGACACAAACACAAATTCTCAAATAAAAGCTTGTACTCAGATTATTAAACAAAACATAGTAAACTCAGCATCATGTCCATTTTCATAGTAGTTTTTTATTTGCTTGTTGTTTTTATTTATTCTTTCTTTCTTTTACTGTAAAGCTGCTGCCAATGAAACTCAAAACTTCCTGCAAATGTTTCATATTAAAAGCCTGACAGGAGAGGGGGATGGTATTAAGTAAAGGGCTGGTTCCGACTGCAGTTAAGGTAAATAAATCATAGCTTTTTGAGAATTTACTGTATATACATATGGTGACTGAAGTTCCCACCAGCCAACCTCTGTAAAAGATGTGGCGGATCTAATTCTGATACTAACAAATGCTTGAATGTAATGACCAGGGCAAAATGGTTATGACGAAAGACAATGCCCTGCCTAATTTTGTTCATAACACATGTAACACGCATAGTTGTTGGGTGAGGTCAAAAGTCAAGAGGGAGCGTCATACAAATGGATAAATTGGCCAGGTGGGAGCGACCTATAGTCAGAAATAAGAAGTGCAAAAAAGGGGAAAAAATAGATTTTGGGAAAGAACTGAAAGCAGGATGAAAAACGATTGTGATGAGATGACATATGAGAGGGAGAGAAAGAGACAACGGCAGGCGTCTCATTCAATTGTTGTTTGAGGATGCTGACACACAGCAGGAAATGGAGGATTATTGAAAGTGTCAGGAAGTAGGAGCTTTTAGCAAGAGCTTCTACGCATGCTTGTGCACACACACACACACACACACACACACAAACCTGGCTGTAATGTAGTCAATTTATAATAACCTATTCTTTGCTTTTCCTTTTTGTACAAGAGGTTCTTGTTCTCTGATTCCATTACCTAATTGTCCTCTTCTGTGCTCACTTCTTTTACTGTTCCAGTTATTTGATATTCAGACAGGCTTTCTCTAGGACGCTTTACCATGGCAGATGCGTCTACATAGGCCAAAAAACCTGCTTCATCCAGTTTATTTATTACCTCCGCCAAGGAAGTTATGTTTTCAGTGCAGTTAGTTCATTGTCTTTCAGCAAGATTACTAAAAAAAAACTACTGGCCCGACTTTCATGAAACTTGGTGGAAGGGTGTACCATGGTCAGACATTGTGAGATAGGTCAATTGTTAACACTGGTGTCTATGGCAAAATTAACCAAATCCGTTGCACATGTTCTCTTCTAGTTTCTTTTTTGTGTAAATCTTGCACCTATTTCAGACACAGTGAACATTTGTTGTATGTTGGATAAATTCATGGTATCCAACTTGAATTTGCAACCATGCTCTTGACCAGGGTTTAACATATGTGTAGCACTGCTTAGCTTTGACAGGCAAGGTGAACACGTGTTTCTCAAGCAACAGAAAGATTATGTGGTTACTATCAAAGGAACTGTCGCTAAAGGAGCTGTCCTCTAGCCCCCCACAACCATGGAATTCTGCTTTTACAATCTATATATTTCAACATGGTTTATGTTGTATAAATTGTTGTATTAAAGTAATACTTGACATTTTGGGAATGAGCTTGCTGAGAGAAGGTTGACCCCACTCTTATATCTGTAAATGTGAGGCTACAGGTGGTATAGCTTAGCATAAAGACTGCAAACAGGTAGTGTTGGTGGTTGACATAATAGCAAAACAGAATTCTATATAGAATACCCTATGGCAATCTTGCCCTAACCATTTATCCACCTTCTTTCAAATGAGACAGTTGAGACAAATGAGACAATTACTTGTGACCAAGAATGGTTTCTCCTGTTGATGCTGCTCCTTCTGCCCTGGCCTCACTGTGGCAGCAGTTTTCTTGTGGTATCTTGTTGCATCTGCCTGAGAATAAGACATGCTTCAGGGTTTCTGTTTTTGGCTCCACTGACTCTGCTATGGTTTAGAGCGCTCTCCAACCCTTGTCCAATAATGTCAAACTGGAGGTGGGAAGTGAGGCGCTCTCCACTCTTCTACTAATGGCTGCTTCTCTGCAGAGGAAGTGATTGTTGTTTTCTAATGTGTTTTAATAGAGGAAATCATAGTTCAGACTGAACAGCATTAACTGAGATTAAGAGAAACAGTAGTTAGTCTCCACTTCTCTCATAGTCAGCCTGCTTTGTGGCTTGGCAACTGATGGTCCTGGGAATGTGTATTGTGTTAATGTCTTACAGATTCAACTGTCAAACTTTTGAAGAACAAAAACAATAATTTTATAATAATAATTTAATAATTTAACATTTTCTCTTATTTTTACCACTGTACCCAGCAACCTGGAGGAGGACGATTCTTCTTCTCCTTCCACCTTTCTATCTACTTCTTAGTAGCTATATGCCAAATGGATACAAATAGGAATGTACTAGTTTTCTTTTAACTTATTCTTTTCCGTTTTTTCATTTTAGATGTCCTGATCTTCTGCTGTACTGCAATCTTATCTGCATCTGGTAATTTCATTGACCAAACAATGCAGCAATGTGGAAGCTTTCCTGGTGTTTGTTTTTACTTCCATTTGCTTGTTCCACCTGCATATAATGTATAGACATATTTATAACTGTAAATGCAAATAGTGTTTGGGTTAAAGTTGACTTCCCACATTTCAATTAAATTTTGAATTTCAATTGACCTCAAAATGAACCACACCCTGTGTGAGTTTGATTTGCTTAAAAGAGATCTGACTTTGTTAGTTTAACACTGTTTAGTTCTCTTTAGAGGTTGAAACAGACAAAGTGTGAAAAAAGATAAAGCTTTTCAGGTGTTTTGCACTTACCCTCAGGCTTCTACCACAGGCTGTTTTTAATGTTGTTAGTTGTGTATGCAGTGCAGTCCAGTACTGCTTTTTAAAATCAGTAATGGTGAGCATAATTTATTTTTTATATCAAATTAAATATGGTTGCAAAGTCCTGCTATATGTTGCACTTTCTTACAAGCTTAAATATTTGTAGCATAAGAAATGGCAGACTCAGATTTGAACCGTTTTTTCTCATATCCTTTACTGTAGAAGCTCAAACTGGGTTGCTGATACCAATGATTATGCAAAATAAGAGTGAGTTCTTTGCACTCTTGATTGGTCATGCCCGGGCACATAAACCCAGACCAAGCTCTTGTTGGCTAGGCTCTGATGCTTGATTGGTGTTGCCTGCAGTAACACTTTAACACCCCAGCCAGTTTATTTGCATTAAGTAGCCCTAACCTCTACTTTTCCCTGCTCATTTTCTTTGCTGTTGTGCTTTCCATTGCCCTTGCTCTACCCTGCAGAAAATAAGTGGCAGTGAACTGCCCACAGCAAATAACCACTGTAATATTAATCTGACATAAAGGGATGTCATTGAGTCTCCACAGCCATGAAAGCAGGAAAGGAGTTACCCACTGGTAACCACTGACATGCTCAGCTATAGCACAGAAACCTTTAGACCAAACTGTACTTATGTGTTAATGTTCAACCTTGTTACAGTTATTTGGCGTTTGGGGTATGCTCTACACTGTGGATTTATTCACGCTGATTATAATGTTTAGCACTGTTTGGCATTAAATCTTGCAAACCTGGAGATATATTCAGCTCGGCAAGCCTCATACACGTGCTGATATTGGCTGGTATGTTAATGACCTGAATTATTTTCAGCTTTTGTTTTTCATCCCTGTTTAGTTAACATATGTGTGCAAATTCATGAAGCCAAGGTCATTATTCCTTTCCTCAATACGCACCTACACACCTCTGCAATCTTTTCCCCCCTTGAAGCATCAGAAGGACGAGACACAAGCCTCCATAGGTGCAGTAAGCACGCAGCAAAGATCTTCTGTTACCTTCTGCAAACAATTATTGACACCTTATCCATATGCCATACACACACATGCACACAGATTAAAGTGTAATGAGAAGCTCATTCAGAGCAAGCCACTAAAGCCCACTGTTATTTATAATGCAACACATTTAACTATTAAATTAAGTGTTTGTGAATCTGCCCTACATAAAGGTATAACATTTCTCACTCTTTGAAAGTTTTAAGCTAACATTATCCCTTGACACAAATAGAACTGAGCCGTCATGCTGAGGTTGGATTTTAGTAAAAGAAAGCAGGTGTGGGTGGATGATGGAGAGGTAAGGGGTCCAATGTAGGTTTTGTAGGCCTTGATAATGCTGCGTCTCAAAAACATGGATCTATGTTTACCATTTAGCCTGCATGTGTTGGAAGCAGTTGCTCAAAATAAAACAATGTATTCATGGATATACTTTGTTCTACCATCATTAGTATTTTATACAGGAAGGGGGTTTGGAGGGGGTGTATATTGAGAAAATACATTCATAAATTCGTACAGCAATGACTTTTATTTTGTCACAAACATAGGGCCATTTTTCCGATGTGTGATGATGCTCCAGTGTATGGGAGAGAGAAAACACATTTACTGTGTTTGTTTGGAATATCTAATGCATGCGCACAGGACATATTCAATTTGAATGTAAATATTAACATGAATAAGAATTTATTATATTTACTTATATAACAATGTTGGATGCTTTACAACACTCTAAGCCTTCATACATTTTATAACTTTTTATTGGTGAGTTGGACTTTTAAAATTCTCAAATATTGTTAAAGCTAGAACCTGTTAAAAGGTTCTGTCTTATATTTGATATTTAAATTTAATATTTCCTTTGCTTTTATAGATATTGCTTTTTTAGAGTTGTTGCAGTGCGTTTACATTAGTGATATGAAGGCTACCTTTGGGAGACTTTCCTTGGCGTTCATTAAAAGGAATTGTAAAACCCTTACACCTTCATTTACGAAAGAGCTCAAGTTAAACAGACACATGCCCTGCGAACGGAAGTTATGAAGAACACTAAATGGCTTTGAGAAGACTGAATGTTTTAAATTAAACACACTGTACTCAGTGTAGATGTGTCGTCTCTGGCTTCAAGCGAAGTCTTTAAGGGCAGTTATCTTCTATAGCTTTTATGGCCTGTGTATGTTTAAAGTTAAATTATGAGAGTCTTATGATTTGACAGTCCAGTCAACAACATACTGCTGTCTTCTAGCGCTTGACACCAGAAGACAAGTTTCTTCCTCTGTGATGATTTTGGATTCCATATCAAACTAATGTTTTATTACAGTGCTACTTAAAGATGCAACAATATCTAGTCTACATCACATGCTATCAGTATGTCTCTGAAGTTGATAATCCAATGTTTTTGCAACTTTCATCTGTTATAGGGACTTCATGCTAATGTTTGTTATTCAGACTTTCTAATATTTACGCGACAACATGTATGATATCCTAATTTTTAATGTGACCTATACTCTGAGCTCAGCCTTTGCCCTGTGTGGAGGTCAGAGGCCACTGCTGACATATGGCATTGTCACTGTTGTCACTTTTTGGGACTTTTAATCTCTCCAGTGGTTTTGAAGTTCAATGTGGAGCTCTGTCAAAACCACAGCAGCCACAGTTTAAATGACCAGCACATGCTTCAGACTTTATGCTTTGTCTTTAAACACTCATTTCCCATTATGCCGCTTAGTGACTGCCATCTATTACGTTCCTAAAGAAGTAAATGGGGGTCAAGAGCTATTGTCAGCAGATGAAATTCCTTCCAAGCGTGCATTTTAAGGACTAAATCACCACAAAACTTTATTCCAACAAGTAAAAAGCAAAGCCGTTATGGATGATTATGGTTATGAAGGTCAGTGAGACAATAGGTCTCCATCTGTGACTGACAGAACTACTGTCCTATACGTTTGTGTCCAAGTGTGTGTGTTATGCACTAGCGTGCAGAAAACCTCCTTAGTCATTTCTTTGTGACTCAGCCCTCTTCCATCTGACAGCTTAATATTAAAAAGCCTTCATCCTGCAGCAACACATTCTGAGTTATGGCTTCTGGCACGGTATGTGTGTGTGATTGTGTGTGTTAAAACCTGCTTCGTCATGATGTTTTTGGCTTAGCGTGGATCATAATGAACAACAAATTTGAATAGCTGTCATCCACAAACCAACTCTTCCCCGCATAGCGTGTGTGGGAGGGTATGAAGGTATCTTTTCTTTTATATGCTTGTGTTTCGTATTAGTGAACGTGCACGTGTGCATGTGCATTTGTTTCACTGTGTTCTTGTTTGTGTTTCACTGCGTGTCCTTTTATGTATTGTGTGCAGATAAATATATATGTGTGTGTGTGT